GTATTTTTGTTAAGGCTCTACTTTCCAGATTCATGTGATAATGGGAGAAGCTGAGGTTCTGCTTAGGAACATTTAGCAATGAAGTATCTAGAGCACCTGGCTGGAGAGAGTAATTGGCAAATGGGGACCCAAGTGCATCCTGAAGTCTCAGAAAAGCAGGAGGCGAATAACAAGCACCTGCAAACCACTGTGTTTGGCTGAGCTGGCTGGAAAGACACTTGCGTGAAATGTGCTTGTCTGGCTGCTCCTGGGGGCAGGAGCTGTTGAGTGCCATGTTCTCCACAATGCCGCAGTGTTTTCTGGGTGGGAATGTTTTTCCCTGTGGGAAGCTGGGAGCAGGGGTGGTGAAAAGTAGGGCAAAAAATTATCACCTGCAAAAGGTATGGAGAGGAACCCTGGACCTCCAACTCCCCAGGACCAGTCCTAATGTAAGTGCTGCCTGCAAGGAGGTTTTGGAGTGCTCTGCGTGTTAGCAGACACTTTGACTTCAAATACCTGCGTGGGTTTTCCCAGCAATATGGAGCATGCCGCTTTCCCTCTGGCCATGCAGCCTCCCAGCTAGGGGCGCTGGTGGGGAGGTGTCAGAACAGCCCAGTCTCAAGGGGCACAGACATACCTGTGACATTTGGGAGCACAAGGACGCTTCAGAGTCTCTGCCTCCGTGCCATTTCCCATCGGCCACGTCTGAGTCAGAGGGCTGGAGCACCTCTCCTATGGGAATAGGCTGAGGTGGGCTTGTTCAGCCTGGAGAAGAGAAGGCTCCGGGGAGACCTTATAGCCCCTTCCAGTACCTGAAGGGGCTACAAAGAAGCTGGGGGGGGCTTTTTACAAGGGCCTGTAGTGACAGGAGAAGGGGTAACGGGTTTAAATTGAAAGTGGGGAGGTTTAGATTGGATATCAGGAAGAAGTTCTTCCTGGAGAGGGTGGTGAGGCACTGGAACAGGTTGCCCAGAGAAGCTGGGGATGCCCCATCCCTGGAAGTGTTCAAGGCCAGGCTGGATGAGGCTCTGAGCAACCTGGTCTAGTGGAAGGTGTCCCTGCCCATGGCAGGGGGTTGGGACTGGATGGTCTTTAAGGTCCCTTCCATCACAAACCATTCCATGATTCTGTGATCCTATGAATAAAGATGAGGGTGCAGAGTGAATAGGCACCGGGTGCCTTGCTCCTGGAAGGGAAATAGTTTTTACCAATCTTCCACTTTCTGTGATGAGGACCTGTTTCCGCCAGCGCTGCGAGGGTGCTCTCTCTCTGGTGGGAGGAGTGCATGAAAAATACAATTCAATGCCACCAGTGGCTGTCGTTCCTTCCCAACGGGCTGTGTGGGGCAGGGGTACGAGCACCACCGAGAAGCGCTGACTGAGGACGAAACATCATGGAGCAGCGTGCTGTGCTGGGTGAAACTGGAACTGTTGCTTGCTATGGGCTGTCCATGCACAGCCCCCATCCCTTGAGGAATGACGGTGCTAAAATGTCCCACCAGACCAAGTACAGTAGAACATACAGTTTTACAAACCTCTTGACATGAAAACATTAAAAATATGCGGGATAAGGGGCAGTAAGAGAGACACGCGATAAACAGCTGGACACAATGGACACCCACAAATAAAGGAAGCACTGAGACTGACTGTGAGACTGGTGGAAGACTTCTCCTGCCGTCCTTGTCCTGCCGCGGAAACGTTTTCAGTTGTTACTGGGAACAGTTTACAAAGGCTCACACAAAGCCACCATCAGAAATAACTCAGACTCAGAGAGGAAAAAATTGCTCGAGAGTTCTTTTGGGAAGGATTAGGTATAAAATAATTGCCAGTTATAAATTAATTTCACATCCTTTTGGGGCTTGGCCTACTAGCATTTCAAGGCTTAACTGGAGCTGGCAGACAGGGTGGGCACCGATTCCAGGGCCTGACTGCCAAGAAAAAGGAAAATATTAAGAGAAAAAATTGGTAATGAAAAAAAAAAAGGCCAGGGAAATGAGATGTAGTTTAGGAAAATTATTGTTCTCTGAGCCGTGGACTGATTTTATGGCTGGCATATTAGTCACAGTCTTACATGAGCCTGGCCGTTGTAATTGATGTCTGAAGAGAAACTGGGGGTGAGCACGGCTCCCAGTGCTTTAATTTTTTTTAAATCCATGAATCAGTTATTTTTAATTTTTTTTTTTTAATTTACATTTATATCAAAGTCTGTGAAAAGCAGTCGGGAGACTCCTCTCAGCTTCAACAACTTTGAATCAAGCCGTGTAAAAATAGATGCCACGTGCCGCAAAACTTCTGCTGCAATCTGGCCAGCTGAGCCCGGGCGGCAGGGTAACACCACGACTTTTCTGTTTCTTACACCCTATATTTGAGGATGACGAGTTATTATGGCCCAGCTGAAGCCCGTGTGACCCCTCTTAGTACTTCTGCCCAACGCTGGATTAGACCTGTGAGATAAGGGCTTGCTCCTACCATTCTCTGTGATGCTGGGCACGTGGACCTCCTCTGTATTTCCTTGGGCTGGTTTAATGGCAATGCTCTACTGCCCAGGAGACATTCTGCACAGAGCCGTACAGCGGATGAAGGGCTCATTTCCAAAAGGAAAATGTGCATGGTGAAAATAAAAACGCGCAGGACACATGGGAGAGGAGTGAACCCAGTGTGAAGCCTTGTTTCAAAGGCTGCTCCTCCTTTCAACGCAAGTCAAGCCAACGGTAAACCGCTGTAACGGGGGCCAGCCAGAGTCACAGAGCCGCTGCAAAGACCTCTCCACAGACCAAGGCTTGGAAACCATCTCTGCTGGGGCATGGGCAGACCCGGACAGTTCTTCATCTTAGCGCTTTTGGGGCATTTTGCAGGATGCGTATTTAGTTGCGACTGCATGAAGAGGGCTGCCCTCCAGCACTAGGAGGATTCTGGTGCCTCGCAGCCCAGCTTGGGCAGCATCTCACTGCTGACCCTAGCCAGAGCGGTAGCGAAGCGGGAGCTCCTCCAGCTGCGGGCGAGGCAGCTGGCATCCAGCCCCACGGGGGCAGGACTCTGGAGGAGAAGGGGCCTGGGGCTAACACCCAGCCATCAGGTAAAACCATAGGCCAAGAGATCAGAGAGGCAGACAGACTCAAGAAAAACTGTTGAAAACAGATTGTTAGTCAGCCTTATGGATCTCAGCACAGGACATGCTTTTCTTACTGGAAGAGAGCCACAATGTAGAAATAGACTGAAATCAAGGAAGAGGGCCGCAGCCAGAGCTCAGGCTGTATATTTAAACATTTTTGCTGTCAGACCATCTGGGCCTGGAGCTAAATTTACCTACAAATTATTTCCAGTGTTTCTACTTCTTGAGAGGTGAAAGGTGCACTTGATACTTTATGTCAGGAGAAAAGATAAAATACATGTCCTGGGTCAGATTTTCCCAGTATCAGGCCTGTGTGTGGTTTTGGATGCCTAATCTGTCCGTTACACCTGACTCTAAGACCAGGCCGAGTGCTCTGCACGCACAGAGCACCTCCACAGCCAACACAAAATCTTGACTTGCATTCTTGCTGCCGGTAACTCCGTACAATGATGAGCAATGCAAACACACATCTTTTTCTGCTTTTACGCTGTTACTGATTTTTTTTTTTTGAACCGTGGCTGAAGGAAGACTGCTTCAGCGATGAAAATCCTTACAGAGGATCCCGAAAGTTTAGTTTCTGACTCAGCTCAATCAAATTAGCTTGGTGACTCCAATGCACTTGGGTCCCGGGAGAAAGCCTCAAACCCAGGTGAGGTCTGGCAGTCCCCTAGCTGTCAGGGGAGGTTTGGTGCGGGCCTCTGCTGCACCACAGGGAGCCCACGGGGTGGGGACTGACAGATGCTTGGTGAGAAAGTTGTGATTTGCAACTCCACAACTTTTGCAACCTTCCCCCACATAATGAGGCACCTGCATCTAGTCCTGGGTTGGCCACTGCTGTGAAAAAAGAGTCCACCACCCCATGTTTTAGGTGCCTGTGTCACTCCTTTTGGGGAGTGGCTTACTGATTCCTCCTTTGAAAGGAAAATGGATGAGGATGGCTGTACCTCTTGCTGGCCAGGACTTAGTCATCCCTAAATCCTGGAGGGTACCCCAGCACCTACACTGGAATATTGAGTGTTCAGCAAGTCTCACTGGGCTCAGGGTAAAGTAATCTCATCCTCTGCCTGTGTTCTTTCTTTCCTTAAGGAAGTTTTCCCATTTAAATGGTTTTGTGCAGATTGTTCCTTTAGTTTTCTTTAAAGATGAAATTGTGAAAGTATCTATGGGACAACCACATCCCAGAGTTGTTTGGTTTTTTTTTATCTTAGAGCAAGAACCTTTATTAGTCTCCAGTTTCTGCATGTCACCTTGGGAAAGACTAAAAATAACTATATTTGGAGATTAGAGAAGTTAAGTCTCAAGACATGGGGCCTTTCAGCTTCTCAGTGCTGTGGACTGCGTCTTTCTGTTCTGTGTGCCATAAAAGTAATAACATTAAAATGTTTTATAAAAGTGATCTGTGATGGGTGATGGCACGGAACTGATCTGGTGGTTCAGTTTATCTATGATTTAGAAATCCCCATAAGGAATGTCTTAAATGCTTCCATCTATCCCACATTATGTATATATCATCACAATCAGAGAGACTTCCCTGGTAATAAAGCTCCTCTATCCAGGTTGTTGTGAGTGTCCTGCCTTCGGATGGTTGCTTTTTAACGGATGGCATGGAAAACTTTTCCAAGGCCAAAATACATGAATAAGATTTATTAATCCTGTAGCCCCGTCACTCACGATAATGCTAATAATCCATAAACCTTACATCATGTCTAACATCCCGTGTAACAAATGCATCTCCGGGAGATGAACAATAAATCCCATGTGCACTCTGCTCCCTCTTCCTCCACCTTGATGAAGAAGCCCCATATTCGGTGCAGCTCTTCCCAGCTACCCTGCTTCCTTCTTGCTTCCCGCACTGGCTGGTGGCTGACTCTGCTCCGGTCCTTCCCGTGGGACCCCCTCCTCCAAAGCCATCAGTATTTGTCACTGTACTTGCAGTCAGGGTAGCGGTAGGCAAAACGGGAATCGCAAGACCGTAGAGGTTTCAGGAGCTCTGCCAGCTTTGCAACCGCATCGCTAACGCCCCGGTCATTGGCGAGGCCGTCGGCGCAGTGCTGCAGGAAGCTGTCTATTTTGTCCTGCACGGGTTGTGGGAATTTCCCCTTCAGGAGCTTGGGCAAAAGCTCTTGACACACCATGACGAGGCTGTGCTGCTCCGTGATGGAGTTACAGGACACAAGTGCAGACTGGCAGTCCACGGTCAAACAGCTAAATATGTCTTTATACTCCTGCTGGCCGTCAATCAGCTGGCTCCCTGTTAGAGGCAATTAAACCAGTTGTTAGAAGCACGCTAGTGAAATCTTGGGTAATCACACGTGTCTGTACCTCTGTATTAATGCGGGGCTCGTTACTATCTGAAGGTTACAGCTATCTCGCACCACAAAGCACCCCGTGCTGTAGCTGTATACGGGCCAGCTCCTGAAATACATGTGTTTTCCTGAATGGCAGAGCTCTGATGAACCGCCTGACAGAGGAAGCGGAGAGGAGTCTGTGGAGAAAAACTGACGCAGAAAAAGCAAGAAGGACTGAAGTACTAACCTAAAATGTGGAGTTCCTACAAAAACTACCACAAATAGCCAAACCCATAATTTTTCCACATTACCCAAAATCACTAAATTGCAACAACAGCTCATCTAGCTGGAGACAAGTCAACGGTAATAGCTGTTGGGACAAGAAAAAGAAACCCACTGGAAAATTCTCTGACAGCTGCTTCTGAATATTTGAGATCTGCTCAGCTGAATGTGTGAGCTGAGCAAAGGCCTCTTGAAAATTTGAACATTCCAATTTAAATTGTTAAATTATTGAAGGAATAGTCTTTGATCAGCACTACTTCCAGGATTAGACCAATGTAACTTGTGAAAAATGACAAAAGGGGATTTTATTGGTATAATAATGATTATCAGTTAATGTGGTAATCAGTTAATGTGGTAATGTGATTATCAGTTAATGTGGTAAATGCACATAGGAAGTCTGATTTGACCCAAAAATAAGTGAAGTTATGAAATTTCTACTTGCAAGTATTGACATTTTTGTGGATAAAGTTTTAAAAGAGGTGATTCGGGAAGACTTCAAATGAGAGCATTCAGCACTGTGCACGGTGAGTGCTGCTGGCAGCCACAGAGGGGGCCGGGCAGAACACAAGTGCCCACGGTCTGTCACCAAACCGCTGACTGCGCAGCAGAACGCCTCTCGCCTCCCCGACTCAAAGCCCAGATGGCAGGAGCTGCTGATGCTTTTGCTGTAAGTAAACCTCTCCGTCAACTTTTCATTATTTAGCTTAGCAAGTGACGTTTGGTTGATTAAAATTTAAAAAAACAGCAGCAGAGCTGAGCGTAGCAGGTGAAGGGTTTGTGGCTCTGCCTTGCTGAGCCCTCTTGCGACAGACGCGCAGCCACGGAGCCTGCTGAGTACCTTCCTCCTTGTCGATGATCCCCAGCGTGCTGGCATCCCGGATGAACAGATGCCCATTGCTGAACACGCCGAAGGTGCCAGCGTCCACGTGGGTGAAGTAGAAGAAATAGTTGAGGTCGTTGTTGCCCATGGAGCGGAGGACGGCGAGGAGCTGGAGGGCCAGGTCGGCGGCCACCTCGGGGGCCGCACCAAAGAAATCCCGTAGGGGACGGGTGCTGGCGCTGACCACCAGCCGCCCGCAGGATCCCAGGTACCGTGGGAAGGGCCATCCCTCCACGTTGGGGAAGATCTGCCGGGGAAAGCGGGATCAGGGGATCGTCCCTGCCCTCTGCCCGCAGACCTGCCTCCCTCCCTCAGGCCCTCCAAGTCCCCTGGGCAGTGTTGTGGTTTGCCTTTAGAGCAGCCCCCAACCTTTCCTCACCCTCGTCTGCCCCAGCAGCCAGGGAAGGCTCTGCTCTGACCTGGAGTAGCTACATGGCTTTTTGTTTCTCTTTTTTTATTTTCTTTTTTTTTTAATGAAAGAAGAGGAATCTGATATTTCAAGACTCATTCTACGGGGGAGACTAACCAGAAAGTCCAAGATAATAATAGATTTCCAATTCATGAAAATTTTGGCCACAGAAAAGCTAATTTTAGGTGTCTTTATGGAGCCTTTGATGGGTCCCTCACAAGCACTGCATAGCTGAAGTCGGTGAGGTAGGGCTAAAGCATTTTTTCGCTAATTTGTAAGAACTGCCTGGCCATTCAGTAAGAGACTTTGCATCCTCAGGGACAGAGGTGCTGCGTGTTTGTGGCAGCGGGGACACCTGGGCTGGGGGTTCCTGCATCACTGCAGCTCGTGCTACCAGCGCGGTTTTGCCAGGTGGGAACCGGACCGCATGACTGTGGATCCGTGCCGGCACAAAGCTTTCTGCCATTTACGTTATACCTTGCCTGTCTCCCCAGGGTCCCAGACCCCTCCAAGACAGGGTTATGAACTCCTCCAGTTTTGTCTTTAAGGTTGCTTCTCCCTTCTGCTGTGACAGCATTTTGGGCACCCATGTAAAATTGTGCCATTTCTCTTCGGCACGTTTTTCTCACCTCTTTAAGCTGCACTCCTTTACAGTGCAGAGAGCCACAGCTTTGTGCCCCAGCGAGCTGTGGCCAGGGTGGCTGAATGACCCCTGGGAAACACCCAAAGCATGAGCAACGTTCCCCCTCCCCGAGACCAGGCAAAGCCATGTGAGTTGCTGAGGGCAGCAGTGGACAGCAGCAGGAGACAGGTGCTGCTGCCGTCTCTTCTCCAGGGAAGAAGACCTCCCTCAATACTGCGTCTTGGTCTTCCCGTGCTGAAGCAGGCTCCTTCTCTTTTACAAACAGGCTGTGATTTTAGGTAATGTATTAGCAGTGCAAGCATAACACTGTGAAGTATCGGGGACATGTAAACCCCTGGCTTGCACAGTGCGCTGGTGTAATAACCCATCTGGGTTCTGAGATATTTAAATGGCCGGGCAGCCTTATCTCTCCACCACTTCACAGGCAGATGCAAGGAGCCCTGCAGGAGTCTGCCTGACTTCAGCCATCCAACCCCATGGAAGAAACTCGCTTTACAAAGGCCAGGAGCTCGCCGAAGGGTAGAACCAGGACTCCTCTGCAGCTGGGAGCTGGTTGCACATCCCATGTTCACTTGCAGGGAGCTGCAGGGTGGTGTTTCAAGCTGGAGCAAAGAGGTATGTACCTGTAACAAGATGGGATGTGAATTCACTGACAGTGTGTACAGGAGGCGCAGTTTGTCCTGGTCGGTGAGGTGGTCCATGTAGATGCTGCCGGCGTCTGGCACCTCAGCATAGCGCCGCACTATCCGGTCCAGTAGACGCTGAGATGGGCAGCGCAGCATTGGGCTGGACAGGCCCTGGTGAGAGAGGAAAGTGCAACAAAGGTGTTTATTTTCCAACCTGGGATGTCGCAATGTTCTTGGCACATGCCAGGGGTACGGGCACCTTTGTGCTGTGCTCACTGCGCCTCTGCACCCCATGGCACAGCTGCTGGTGGGCACGGCACATGGGAGGATCTCGACCTCAAACCCTTCCCAGGAAAATACCCTGCACCATCCAAAAATGCCTGTTCACAACTCAGGTTTCCCAAATGGCACCCAGTCTTTGCGGCACAGCCGTGGCGGCTGCAAACACCATTTCCACCCCAACTGCACGGCACTGCATGGCTCCATGCCAGCAGGCCTCCTCCCTGGGTTTCCAGCTCTGGCATCCCAGCTCGCTGGTGGAGGCCTCTTTCCTTATAGTTAAGCTGGTGAGTCACTTCCCTCGTTAAATGTCTTCAGATTGGTTCGTTATTTGTTTAACCTGAGAGCAGCTTTCTTGGAAATACTCTTGGCGAAGGTCAGTAAACATGCTTTAAAAGTGTAAATAAGCACTGTATGTAGGTACCAGCATAGGATACATTCTGTCTCTGATAAACTCGTGCAAAACTAACTATCAAACCCAAATTTGAATAGCCTGTGCAGATTTTTTCTAAATATCAGCAACAAATAATGGGGCTAATGGATTGCACCATCACTGTCTTTCACCTTCCAGATTTGGAGGTTTGGCTTGTAATACTGCACAAGCAATCTCTGGCTGGGATAAATGGCACAGAAATTTATACTATCACAGTTAAAAAAAAAAAAAAAAAAGACCTTTGTTTTGAAGTCAGTCTTCCTTAATAGCCAAGGAGAGTGGACGTATGGAGAGTTGACCATAGTATCACAGAAATGCTGCTGAGGAAGCGAATCAGGTGTTTGCTAAGCCTTTTTCTTCTAAATGATCCGAGTAGCCAAATTTACTCTTTTGAGTTTTATTTCTAATTGGCTGGGACGTGTGCTTCAGAAGAAGGAACACTGGAGCTCATGTTGCTCCCTGCCGTCCTACCTGCTGAGAGCAAAGGTTTGACTCAGGATCTGCCCAGGTCATTTGGTAACTCTGAGGTAGGTCTCTCTCAGCCCTTCTGCACGAGCTGTTCATTTGGCATAAACCACTTCATTACCCAGCCACAACAAAGCAATGAAGAAACAAGGAAAGGAGGAGTCTGCAGGTCTCCCGGTGGGAGGTGGAAAGGAGGGACCAGACCTCCCACGTCCCTTCCTCTGCTTCCCTGCCAGCTTCAGCGAGGTCCCAACTGCTCCCTCCTTGGCCATCAGTTGCACAAAACAAGCCCTGAGTGCCAGACGTGACTTACTTCGACAAACTCTGACCAAACAAAGGTTAAAACTACCTGGAAAACTCAACCCCAGCTGGAGAGTTTTTTGCAACAACCAAAGAACCATTTCTTTCCCCAAGAGAATAAATAATTTATCAAAAAGAATCCTCCCCAGTTCTAGTTACGTGTCTTCATACACTCCTTTCCTCTGGCGTTGTCTTGTCAAGGAAATATTTTTCCAACTAATTATCTAAAACCAAAAAATGAGGAGGGGGAAGGGATGATTATAGATTTCTGTCTTGCAGCGCTTGCAGGCACATTGTGCCTGACTCCGTCACTTTCCCTTTGGAGGAGAAGTGAGAAAAAATGAGCAGGATGGATCTGTGCTAACGAAGAGAGAAACGGTGGAGAATGTCTCTTGCAGCTCGGAACGTATGCAAATATTTGCAGCCCAAGTTAGAAAGCCTCGCTGCCTCCAGGAGTTTGCAATGCAAAAGCTGGGACCCATAAGCGTACACAGTAGGAGCAGAAATCACGGTGGCAGAGAATGGATGAAAGTTCTAACTTTTTTCCAAGGTCAGAGCTCATCCTTCCAACATAGACATGGATGTGTGCTGCATGCAGTGGTCACGGCTGCTCGTTTCCCAAGGAACAATTTCAGGCATACCAGCGGCGGTGTGGGAGCAGAGGAACAGGGCTGGGTGCTGCCTTTTTATATCAACCCTCAGTGCTTCTTCCTGTGATTTAGTGATGCCCCTATCCACCGAAGCTGGACAGTGGGGCCTTTTGATTTTGGCAGAGCTATTCAAATATGTCAAGTTCAGCACCTGCTTGAGTGTTTTGGTGGAACGGTGCCTCCCCTTCCAGCAGACTGATGGAAACATCCCTACAGCAGGAAAAGGAGCCGGAGCTGTGAAACTGTCAGGCAAAAACTGTCAATGGAAGGAAAATTTGAAGAACACATCCTCAAAGCACTGGAGTTACTGATTTTTCTGAGAATGTCTTAAGTCCTTTGCAGCGTCTAATCACCTCAGGATTAAACCTGACAGACAGCCTGACATATTGTTTGTGATTGATATAAAAAGCTTCTTATTTACTTTGATTAAATACCCACATATTTATATCTGATAATAAGTAGTTCCTGCAAAGCTTACCTGCACTCAACTGTGATATTTTTTTCCTGCTGCGCAGTATGCGACGTATTTGAAGCTCCCATGTATGCATATGTTTGCATATCTAGCATGGTTGCACCCCGAATTCACGTTGGCTTAAAGACGAGCTCTGGAAAACAGCTCCTCCTCATCCTGCTTCCCCTTCAGCCAGCCCAAGAAGGGACAGCACACCTCAGGAGCACAGCCACCTCCTGCCCTATGTGCCAAGGCCTGGCTGCAGCTTCACCAAACAAGTTTTGGGCATGGGATTCAGGAGGAAACATTTGGATGCAGGTGCCAAAGCTCCTGTAGCTCCTGGCTGCTTTGTTCACCTCTAAAAGAGAGAAACTGAGGATGCCCTGTGAAGCTATGGGGCTCATCGCCCCTGCAGGCCCTGCTGCTATTGTCTTCCTCCGGCTGGAGGTTGGATGCAATCAGGATTACCAAAGCACATCTTGGATGGTGAGCTGCAGGGTCAAAGGGGCAACAGTCCAGGAGGTGGCTCTGGGAGCCCAGTAACGCCCATCCATCCCCAGGTTGGACCAGCTGCCAGATCAGTGAGCTGTTACCCGTGTGCCATGAGCAAAGGGATGTATACTGGGCACATCACCATGGTGCTGGCACAGCCGCCGAGGTGCTGGTCAACAATTTCAAACACCACATCCTAGAGAGAGGGGCTGAAAATGGCTGGCTTTTCACTTTGGTGCTGCTTTTATCTGTCTGTCTGCAGCATTTTCCAGACTGCGCTTTGTAGCTATGGCTGTGAATTGACCCTGCGGGCAATTTGTGCTGCAATCAACCTGCTTTTTTTGTTGTTCTTCTCCTCGAACAGGAAAAGCACGCAGTGTGGTTTGAGGTGATGAGCTCCTGGACAAAGCGACGGGTAACTGGGGCTACTGCACAGGCTGAGTCCCAGCTAAATCCTGCTCATCCCCGAGGCAGGCTGGATTTTAACACTGAAGACTTTGCTGCATCCCATGAAGATTTTCATTGTGGTGGGTGAAATAATCACTGTGGCAGGCAGCTTGGCAGACAGTGGGGTCAGGAAGGGCAGGCAGCGTAAAGTGAAAAAAACAATACTTCATGGTCTGCCATTTTGATTCAAGCACGTTACGGTTTGTCGTAATTCTCTGGTCTATAAGACAAAATTACCTGAGCCCATTACCTTTCTTCGGTGCTGCTATATAGGAAAAAACTGCAGGAAGGGGAGTACGGACACCGCTGGGTGACCGCAGCTTTGTGAAGCAGGATGGGCACCACATTAGGCATCAAAAGCAGCGCGTTCCTAAAACCTCTGAGAAGTCGGGGTAGGGGAGCAAAAAGCAAGCTAGGAGAGCAGTGCCACCGGTAAGTGTTTGCAGTGACGTATGGTACCCCAAGGAGCCCCTTGCTCTGACGGTTCGTGCTGGGTTACTCACAGGTGTATGCCCAGCCAACACCGCAGAGAGGCATCAGTGCTGGGCTGGGGTGCAGTCAGAGGCGCTCCTGAGGCTTCCATCTCTGAGGAGAGCAGGAGAGGGGGCAGAGAGGAGGGAGATTGCCAGCCGGATGGATTGGTGGTCACCCCGCAACCTGTGGTGGCCCACACAACAGGGGTGGGGGTTGAGGAGGGTCTCACGTATGGACATGTATGAACACAGCACACACTGAAATGCTGTTGCCATGGGCTGTTTTTCAATTCAGACCATTGTGAAAACAGAAGCCATTTTGCAGAGTGCATGCCCCATCTTAAATAGTGATTGCTGCTGAAATTTGGAGGGGGGGAGCGGGGGTAGGCCCCAGGACCTCTGCATTCCTATGTTCCTCTGTGTATTCAAGCCTATATGCTGTTAGAAGGGATTTATACCCCAGTTTAGGCTTCTCTGCTTGAGGACACCTTCTACTAGACCAGGTTGCTCAAAGCCTTCATGGCCTCCTCTGGACTCGCTCCAACAGCTCGCCATCATCCTTATGTTGAGGGCCCCAGAGCTGGACACAGGACTCATTTGGAAGTATCTTTAAGGTCGCTTCCCCCCAAAAGCATTCTATGAGTCTATGATTTACAGAACCAGAAAAACCATGAAAACACAAGCAGAGCAATCCTGAGGCCAGCGTACAAATGTCTGGGCCTCCCTGCAGCCTCCAGTGCCCTCTCCAACCAAAAAACTGCTGAGGTTACTGTAATGTCCCAAGGAGTTTGTCCCTGGGCACGTCCCCCAAGGCTGGCACCCGAGCTTGCTTCAGAGGCTCCCTGGAGCCGGGATCAGCTCAGCTTCCCACTGCTGCCTGGGGAAATTCAAGCACCCGGGAGAAATGGGATAGCTGGAAGGCCAGGGTGCCCTAGCCAGAGTCTCCACGTGGTGTTGTGTGTGCGTGTGTGTGTGAGGGATCTCTGAAGGACATCGCTGAGGGCCAGCGATGGCCGGTGGGTGCCTGGGAAGCTGCTGCCTGCCACCCTGGGAGGAAGTGTTGCTGCCTGCACGCCCCAAGCTCAGGGGAGGGATGCTGTGAGCAGAAGTGATGCGCATCTGCCCCCTCTCCCTAACCCCTCTCCTGAGCTTACTATACAAAGCTTTGCTCCAAAGAATTT